GCCAAGCTGCCTACCCATTGTGGTCTTGAATTTCCTCCTTACTTGAGGTGCTAAGCCCATGGCCTCGTGCCCCCAAGCAATGCCAACAACTATACTGCCCTTGTACTGTTTGAGTCGAATGCTTCTTTGAGGAATCTTGAGTGTGGCTAGCTTTTTGGTCTTCCTGGCAGCCTTGCCACGCCTAATGCGCATGGTTTGTATCCGCCTAAGGCGGCCCGCCGTGCAATCCACTCCCAAGTCCCTCATCACATCGTGGACCCCAGGTCCATTTGCAGGCAGTTGTTGTTGCAAAAGCCGTTTGGCTGTGCTGTTGGAGGCGATGAAACCTATCTTCTTCTCAGAAATCTTGAGGTTGTCTTCTTCAAGAAGTTGCTTGATATATTCATAGGCTTGGATGGCAATCCGAACTGCATTAGCCGGGTCCCTGTCCACCACATCGAAGGACAGGTCGTCAATCCACAGGTCCGTGTGGAGCTAAGGATACTTCTTATGGAAGGTTTTCAAAGCATTGTACAGGTAGACTTTGGCCGCAAGAGGAGCTTGTGGATCACCCGCCAGGATGCCATTCTCCGTCCAGAGCTAATTGGAAGCCTCGCCTTCCGCCTCCAGGATGCGGCCTCCCAAATACAGCTGCATGGCAAAAACTGCATGAGTTGGTGGATAGTTTGAATCCAGCCACCTGTTGCAAAGGGCCTCAAGCTTGATGCGGTCATAGAAGTTGGACATGTCCAAAAGCACAGACACAACCGTTCTTTTCATTGAATTGTGGTGTTCAGTGAGGAAGGCTCGGCGCAGGGGTTGCTCTCTCCCAGGGGTAGTCCTCTGCCAGGGTGGCTTGCCACTGTGTGGTGAAGGAGCTACGGAGGCGACACCAAAGTCTGTAGAGGGTAGCCACCAGGGCTATGGGCCTTTCGATGTCAGTTGACTTCGGCAACAAGGCGATCAAGGATGTGGTCCATTGCTGAGGGATCACTGCTTGTGCCCAGCTGATGAAACACTTGAGCAATATCTTGCATGGCCTGGTATGGAAGGGCCTTCAGGAAATCAAAGCCAATGTCATCCAAGCCCGGTGCCTTTAAGCTGAGGTGTTTGATCGTGTGCCAAATCTGCTTGGGGTGGAGCGGTGGCATGTTCTGTCCAAATTCGGCTCCTTGCCGAATGAGTTCTTGGAGCTGCGGAAGATGGAGTGGTTCTTCTCTAATGCCCCAAATGTGTCCCCACTGTTGTTTTCGATTCTCCATCCTCTCTTGCCTGGGCTGATCTTGAAAGGGCCTCAGATAGGCCAGTTCATCCTTCTTCAAAGTGCGGTATAGGCCTCTGCATCCTTTTTGTGTTGTTTTGATGAGCCATTCTCTGTAGGTTTGCGTCTCTGCGTCAATCGCCTGTTTTTGATGAAGCTCTCTAAGTTGTGCAGTGTGCTTCAACAACACATGTAGATGTTCTTCATCATGTTGCCCCCACAGCATCTGAAATAACATGCGGAAACTATCTGCAGTGATGTGACAGTCTCCATGCCAGTGTTCCTCCGGACCTGCATGATGGTGCCCATCGTGGTGGTCATGAATTCTTCTGGGGAAATATTAAAATCTCCTGCAATGATGATTTGTTTCGTCATGCTAGTGACAAAGGAGATGAGCCCTGCCCAAAGCTGTGCATTGATGTGGCCTTGGATGCCCTCCCCCGTACGGAAATATGCCATGACCAGAATGACGTCCAAGTTGGCAAAGGTCCATTGTGCTGCACTCCAACCACAGTCCTCAATCACCTGCTTGTGAATGAAATGGAAATGCATGTGTGCTGGATATAGCAGCATGTGTCCTCCATGGGTGCCCCCTTTGATGCTCTCAGCGGCCGGCCAACCCAAGACCCCAAATCCACGTACTGCAAACCATTGACTGATTTTGGCAGAGTCCTCTTGGTTGAGGTGAGTCTCCACCAGCATAATTGGAGTTCGAGGCCTCGAAAGTGCCATTGCCGTACTTGTTGTCCTAGCCGTGTGACATTGGCAAAGGCAAAGTTGATGCCAACCAGCTTCTTCCGCTTTTGGGGAGGTCGTTCATCAGGTTGCTCGATGCTGCTGCCACCACAAATTCACTTTTGATGTCCGCAGGGGGGAGTTCCACTGAAGGAATAGCCCAAACCTGCACTATCTGCCTCTTGATGCTGTCAATGAGCGCAAGGATGGGCCGTGGGTAGGAAACGTCATCAACCAGCCAATATACGCCACGGTATACGAAGACAGCATAGTAGTGCCCTTATTTGTGTTGCTCTCCAAAATGACACAGGAGTCCTATCAGAGAGTACTGCTCCGTTTTTGTCATGTTGCCGTCATCCGTAAAGGGAATGTTGCAAATCGTGGGCACATTCAGGACCTGGTGGTATTTTGTCCATTCCCCGTCTTTCAGCTCGTAGCGGCCAATTTGACCCATCCAAAGGCCTCTGCCATCAGCCACTTGCCCTGCAGGTGTGTTTGCCCATTCGGAGATGAGCTGTTCCAACTCTTGTTCATGTTCCGTCCACGGGGAGATGAGGTGGGTCGGAAAGGATTCACGTCTGTGCACTTGTTGCCTGTAGTCCACATGGTAGTAACCCTTGATCACCTTCTCTGATTTTGTAAGGCGGGCCAAGTCCATGAGGAAATGTGAGGCATCATCTTGTACTTAATCGTCAAATGTCTGCTAGAGCTGCCTCAAAGTAGGCAATCTGGTGATGTTCACCACTCCTTCATCTTTGAGAGCCGCAATGATTGCCGCTCCCGTTTGGTTCCAAAGCTAAGGTCCACCTAGAAAGCTGCCCGCCCAAGACCAAAGCCGGAAAGGTGCATTAGCAAAACACCTGTTCCGGTAGTTTCCTGTCGGGCATTGGAGATTCTGTAGGACATAGTCCAAGGTCGACTGTCCTGATGTAAAAGGGTCCTCCACCAGGATCATGTTCTCATCATCAATTGCAGGCTCATATTCTGCCATGTTGCCTGTACCCCCACAAAAACTTGGAACAACAAAAGACCGCTCCTGAAAGGTCAGCAGCTCTTCATCCGCTGACGTCCCAAAATCACAGGTGTTCTGCACCTGTGTCTGCCCCTGTTGGTCTGAATCAAAGTGCACATAACCATCAGGCAAAATTGCATCAATCATCCCAAGATGCCTAGCCGGAGACGCCCATGTGGTTTCCCCTGTATTTGCCATCTTATATTCTTGCAAATGGTTACCCGCACTTCCTTCTTTTTGTTGCCGTTTCCTCAATCTGCCGTGCAAAATCCGTGACCTGCTCTGCAATGGCTTGTACACCGACTTTGGCCAGGATTATCATGAACTTTTCTGGTGCTAAGGTGAAAGCTTCATCTTCAGCGGCAGCTTCTATCTTCTCCTTCTCGATCTGCTGATTGTACAAGGTAAATGTGTCCTGCAATTCCTTCTGAGTTGTCTCGATCTTTGCCTGCATTTCCTTCAACTCTTGCAGTAGAATAATATATTAAGCTTTGATTGCATCCGCTTTGTGCTGCAAGGATTGTTTGAGCTTAGTAACCAAGGTGGGTTCAAATTTATCCGGCTCCACCAGTTTGCCGATTGCCTGCTTGAGGTCACTCGGCAAATTTTCCAAATGCTCCTTGATCAAAATCGACAAGTCCTGAGGTGCTGGTGGTGCCACAGCCTGCAAGCCAATGGCTTCACATTGGGTCTTCAGGGCACTATCTCCTAATGCTCTTGCACCGCTTTCTATAAAGCATTAAACTTTACCTTCTTGATCTTCTTCGTCCGGTGGCCTCCTGTTAGGCCTCCTGTTAGCCCTGGTGGTGGTTCCAAGAGAGATTGCTTGTAAATCTAGAAAGGCCATTTGTGACCAGCTTGGTTAAAATTCCATTGGGCCCATTGTGTCTGTCTTCTATCAACCTTAAGCTCTTGTAGACCTTATCCTTGCCAAGCAATTCCGCATTGGCTGCATATCAGGGTCACGGACCAGTCTGTCCTGCCAAATCCAGCTGCGACTACAATGCTAGCAAACCAGATATAATCATTGCATCTTCGTTCTTGTAGAAGCCCTTGTCGTTAAGACCACCTCGTGGTTACCAACGTTAAAAATAGGCGCGACCGTTCGCCGCGTGAACCGATATTATATAAATCCGATTTGATGCTAAAACAGCTTAAACCAATAGATTTTTATATGTATAAAATATCATATATATATATTATCATAATTCATTATATCTATAATTTTTTAATATTATATATATTTACCTATATAAAATAACATATATCAATTTAAAAAATATAATATAAATTAATATCAAAAATATTTAAATATATTATATATAATTTTAAATATATATTTTTTAGATATATTAAAAAATATATATATATAATATATATATAAAAAATATAAAAAAATAAAAAACAATATTTTTATATTCGAACAAATTATATAAATATTCGATTATATTAATAATTCTATCATTTCAAATATCTTTATATCAATAATATAGAGATTTATATATATATATATTAAATTTATAGGATCAATATATTGATTATTTGAAGGAATTGATATCATTAAATATATTTTATATATTTTAATATATATTTAACCAATTAGCAATTGGTTGTGTGGTTGGATTCCAATTTGCGCCCAACGCGTGGAAAATCATGATTTCCAATAATTTCCTCAACCTCAAGGGCAAAGGCTTTGACAATTGTGAGTTAGAAGAACAAGAATTGGCAGGAACACAAGAAATTGTTCATGGTGAAGGCGGCTTGGGGAGTGCCGCACGAAGAAATGACGGCGCTGACAATGACCTCTCTTCACAACTCAACCTGCCTCCAGCACAAAGTCCTGTCGCGCCTTCTGTTGCCCAAGCCAAGCTTTTGCTCAGGCAGAACAGGATCAAGTAGATCGTGGATGTGTTGCCGATCTCCCCTTTGTCCAACTAAAGGCTGGTTGTGCAAATGACGTCAGTTATCCGTGTCGGTAGAACTCCTCAGCAAAGAGCAACCTTCCCAAGAGCTTCAAGACCTGAGCTTCCAAAGCTGAGCTAACTCTGGCAGAATCGTGAAAAAATCAAGAGCTCTTGAGGTTCTTGATTGATTCAGACGAAATCTGCGACAAGTGAAATACAAGAAGACTTGTGGAGATCACACTGTGGGCCTTGTCTGCTTGTCCTCTGGAGCAGCTGGCCGAGCAAGGCCACTTTGTTGCCAACAATCTGAATCACCAAACCTCAAATCCAAAGGCTGGGCAAGGTGAAGGTCCATAGCTCATGAGATTCGCGGATCTAAAGCTACACACATCATCTCCCCAACTCACAATGCAAATCAATGCAGTCCCGCTGGCTCAAGGAAATGGACGTCGGTTGCAAAGCATGCAACGCCATGACCGGCCATGACCCCCAAGCAATTCAAAGCTTCTTGCCACCTTTGAGCTCTTTGGCATGAGGTGAGGGCCGCCACAAAACCTGGCAACATATATAGAATGACACAACTTTCTCCGGACTTGAGACACGTGGCTCCTTCCAAACACGATGGAGAGCACAGGCGTTTGGGAGTGCACATCACTTTTCAATATGCTGCACTTCAAACTTCAAACAAAGGTTTATGCGTTTTACCTTCTTTCATATGGCATCATATGGTCCTATCACGTCGGATTCGTGTGGCAGGTGTGGAAGTTGTTGACACTTCCACAACATTTCTATACTGGCATCACTGAAGGGTCTACAAGGCTTCTCAGATTGAAAATTGACCCTGCGCATCTTCCCAGCACACAGGATTGTAGCCAGAAGGGGTGGTATTCATTGTCAACATAAGGAAGCGTGCAGCCTGTTCGTCTGGCCAGTGCATTCTGTTGTACCTAGCGGTAACAACTTAAGCTCCCTCAACCAAAACATAAGTATCATAAGTCTAAGTCAAGGAGCTGATCTCAGAGGTTTGAATCTGTTGGAGCCACATCTCTCCTCATAATACAGGAAGGATCTGCGCCGCGAGTGTTCGCACACTTATGTTCAGGACAAAAAACCGCCCAGGGGACCTACAAACATACATCCTTGGCGAACGCAAGAGGAGAACCCTGATGCAGCGAGAGTCTGAGGAAGTGAAGTGCCAAGTGCCAGTGGCACTCACAAGCACTGATGGCTGCATTGAACACAAAGCTGTCAGCTTCAATCCTCAAACATGGCTGTCGGCACATGGCATAGAACATATGGGCAAAAGGGATGGAAAAAGGCAAAGGGAGTTCCAAATGTCATGGTCCATGAGTGAGTCCCGATTGGTGCAAACCAATCAAGGTGGCCTATATTTATTTCACAAAATAGAGTGGCATGACAATGCTCAGTCACCAATTCTTGGCCACTTCGTTGAGAAGGTGCAGAACCTCTTTCCAGCGTTGCACTCTTGCCAGTGCACGTGCTGTGGCAGCATAGCCTAAGATGCCATGACTATCCATTCCTCATTGCGCCTCTTGCCTGACAAAGTCCACACAGTTGGGCCATCTTGGCCGCAATGCGTCCCTGGTCTATTGAAAGTCAGTGCTCGATTGTGCTCGAACCAGTGTCAGCATGCCCCAAACTAACCCGTGCCTTTAGCTCCGCCAAGCAGCTGATCACTGTAGGCTGCACCTGGTACATGCTGTTGAGAAGATTCAAGGCAGATTGCCACAGCGCACATTTCTCCACTGCACTGATGACGGCATTGTGACCTTCAATGTAAGAGAAGGGAGTTGCCATCATGCAGTTTCGGCCTGGAGAACATTGGAGAACTGAGCATGCGACTGATTTCGTCCGGCTGCAGGGATGTGTCCTCACTGGTACCGTGGAGTATCAAGTGTGGTCCGAGCAGGCAAGCTTCTTTAGAATGGCTGGGTGTCAAATACAAAGCCGCCAGAAAGAAAGACACTGAAGGACACTCACACACACCACGTTTACTTGTCATGTATTCACATGTATTCACTCTTCAATGAAGCCAAGGTACCAACATGTCCTTCCAGAGTTGGACGGACAAATGCCGATGGGCCTTCTCGGAGGCACCTGGAGCTGCCCATGCGAAAGGCAAGCAGTTGCGATTCTTTTTGCTTCATTGCTTGATGATCGATGGAATCTGTTGAGGATTTGGCTGAGCATCATGTTGAACTCGACCTTCCATGGGCACACCTTGGGCAAACAAGTATGACGTGTGATCCACGCCTGTCTGTCAGATGAATGTACATGTCAAGTACAATCTATATAGATACTACTCCGGGGAAAAACAACATAGACCGTAATTTTGGCATTCAGCGTAGCGTGTCCGGGGTTTCCTTAGGTGGCTGTTCTGCGGCTAGGCTCAAAGGGTTTCAGGATAGCCGGGGTTGGGGTAACATGGCGGCCATTCGTGTCGCCCTTGCTTCGATCCTGCTCCTGTGTGACCCGTTGGCACGGGTCTCCGAATCTTGGGGGATTGGAGACCTTGGCATCCCCTTTTTGCAAAGGGGAAATGACACGTGCCCGGTTGGGAACACCTGCTCAGCCAAAGAGGGCAAAGATGAAGGGATCCGAGGCGTGCCTTCGCGCCCGGATCCTGAACCCCAACAAGGGTGGAAGTGGCCATGGAACTTCACATGGCTCATTAAGATCAGTTTGCGGCTCATCTCAGACGCAGCGAGCTCCAGTTTGGAGTACTGCGGAACTTTGTGTGCCTCGATTGGTCTAGCAGCTCGGTGGTCTTACTGGCTCGCCACAGCTGTTGTGGCCATCTTCTTGTTGCAACTCCTCGTTTGGACCTGCAACTGGATTTTGGTGCCCATCTATCGCCACACCATAGCCGTTTGGAAGTACTTGAGAGGGTATGGACAATGGTATGAAGTGGCACAACTGCAGGGCGTGCGGGTCTTCAGGCCTAAGTGGGTGGGACCACGTGGTCGAGAAGAATGGACATCCGCCTTCGTTCAACAAGAAGTGAGGGGTAGAGGTGACGGCCGCGAACCTGTTGACTTGCTGGTCACCGACGGTACTGCGGTGGCTCGCTTAAGGCATGGAACCTTGCGCGGAAGAACAAACCACCACGGTTTCCGAGCAGAATGCGACTCAGTCCATGCATCTTCGCATCGGTACTACCGTAATCAACTGAAGGGAATGGAATGTCGGGTACATCTATGCGTGCAACATCCGTGTGGGCAACCAGATGATGACTGCATGCACGCGGTGGCGGCAGCTGTGATTCCGAGGGGAATGGAGTTCGACTTGCAGGATGCAGCTGGAAAAGGCCCGATGGCCCGGTGCGCGACAGCAGCCTGGTTTTGTGGATACACCAGCTTGGAGGTTTTTGGATCGATCTGGAAGGGAATCAAAAAGTTCCTTTACACCTGCATCTGTTGCTGTGGGTGTTGCGGCAACAGACGCAAAACTAGGCGTTTGAGGAACCCACCAAGTAGCGAAGCATCGACTCCGAGGCACGAGAACTCTGAGACTGAATCCGAAGGAGAAGAAGAAGGATCATGCCAAGCGGAGTCAGTAGCTTTCTTGGTGGGCTTGAAGGCAACGCCATTGTCCTTAACCCCCTGCAAAGACGCCTCAAGAGGGAACAAGATCAAGCTGTTGCCCTCCGACGCGGAGATCAGCAGCACCGAAGACCTGCTTCATGAGGATGGGAACTTGTATTTTCGAGGGTGCAACCATCACCGAGCCCTATATGAAGGACAAGCTGCTAGGCGCACCTGTGCCTTTGAGGGCTGCGACAACGAGGTCAAGTCGAGCAAGAATGGGCTCCGGCTGTGCAAGTTGCACGGCGCCAAGGAGGATAAAGGAAGGACCAACTCCAGGTCGAAATCTTCTTCGGAACCCCCTCGCACCCCTGCTGCTCCCAGCGTGTCCAGTGGAAGGGAAACCGAGGCGCGTTTCGCGCCCGGTTTACCAGACGCCAGCTTGCGACCTGAGGGGAGGCAGATCACGCATCAGACCACCTCCCTCAGCCAGTACTTGAAGAACATCCTTGAGGGTAAGACAGAATGGGCGGCGTTGAAGGAATGTGCGAGCCAAGATTGTGGTCCAAGGGAAACCTGGGAAAGCTTGAAGGAGCAAGCGGCTGCGTACGCTGCTCGGCTGCCCAAGGACTATCCTGTGGAAGCACGCAGAGCCGTCGTTCGGCTTTTGATTGAAGAGTGCCCGGAGCCTGACTGGGAAGAAGGACACATTGACCCTGTGCTAGCCCTGAGTCCGGAGAAGGCCCTCAGATGTCCAGGTTGAGGAGGATAGAGGCCCAGTTGAAGCGCTCCCACAACCGGCTAGGCCAGCTGAGAATGTCGCAAGGCCCACTGCAGCAAGCTTGTACCGGCCCAGAGGAGCGTCCACTCTACCTCTGGGAGTGAGTGAAGAGCCATCCGGAGGATCAAACCGAGCCTATTCAGCTTTTGCAGCAGCCACGCGGCCAAGACATGCCGGAGCCTACACCGATGGGGAACCACCAGCAACTGACGAGACCACCAAAGCTCTCCAGGCAATTGCCAAGGCCGTTACCTCCAAGGATGAAGCTGCCAGTCATGACAAAGGTAAACTGGCTTCCATTGGGAAGTTGGAGGAGCGGTTGATGTACTTGGTTCGGGGATGTGATTCGCTGACTGTACCGCTTGGTGCAGCCACAGTCGGAAAGGAGTTATACCACTCGCTCCGAGCCACCTCTACCCAGGGTAGGTTCCCCGTTAACATCAACAACCGGGTCGCCTATGGCATCACCTCACTCAGTTTTGGTGGTAAGGACTTGAAGTCCCTCCCGGACTACTGCTTGTCAGCAGCGGATTTTCCACTAACTTCGGAAGAGGAGTTCGATGGTTGGTCGGGCTGTGCTGATATGAAGTTGGAGAAGAGACCAAAACCACCTATGACACTGAATGCTTGGAATGCCTTGCGACAAGCCTGGGCTATATCCTGTGTCTTAGGTACAGAGCATTACTCCACCTTCGAACAGGCAGCCTCCTACCTCCTCAAGCTGGGTGAAGAGCATGCCTACATGTGGCCAACCCATGCACTCTGCAGCGTATGGGAGGAGCTTTGGTCGAGGTACGTGGAGGAGTTAAAGGACCTCGACAGACAACTTCGAAGGGAGATGAAAGAGGATGCGCCCACTTTTGAACGTATCAGGTTCTTTGTGACAGCACCTGGAGCGGATGGAGAACCCTGGCTTCGTCTGCCTAGGACCTTCTTTCTTGAGGACCCCCATGAGTACTTTCAAACTGATGTTCTCCCTCGACACAATCGCCTGCTATCCAGGGCCTGCTGGCAGGTGGCACTCAAACGAGCACCTCAAGGGGGACTGCATGGAGGAAAGGCTGGAGAGGGAACTGAGGCGTGGGATTCGCGCCCAGGGCCCAAAACCCGGAAGGCAGACCCCTCCAACAAACCTCTGATGGGACCACCGCTCACCACCAAGGAAGCAGCCCGAGCCTTGGATCACAGACCCAAGGAAAGGAAGGGTGCCAAGTACTTGTGCTGGGATTACATGAGTCACAGAGGTTGTAATAAGCCTCAAGCCTGCCCACATTCACATGGGCCCGCTCCCAAGTGGGAATCATTGGATTGGTCAGTCCAGCTCCAGCTTTTGAGACGTGGTGGTTTCAAGGCCAAGGCTCGAATAACAGAAGGCCAAGCCACCGAACAAATGGAAGCCATCCGCAAGGCTCAAGCTGCGAAGTCTCAGGAGATGGTCGATGAGGGGAAAAAGGTCAAGAAGGTTGGAGAGTCCGATCAAGGGGGAGGAAAGACAGACTCCAAAGTTGGTAAAGCCGAGGTTGAGACTGAGAACGAACCTCCAACTTTGAAGCTGGATGATCCACCCAAAGAATTTTTGGATATCTATCCGACTGATCAAGAAGCGGACATGGCGGCCCTACTCCAAGGGCCAGACCTTGAGGTTTACAAAGACCATGATGCTCACAAGACCACCCAAGAGGCTGAGAGCGATCTGAAGAAGTTGGGAGAAGAGGTTCAAGAAAGGGCAGCCAAAATGGAATCTATTGACCGAACTGATCTCACCGATGGATACGATGGGCTGTTGAAAACATACCTCAGCAACCAACTCCTCCTGAAGAAAGAAGCACATCCTGAACTACCCCTGAAGACGGAGGATGTCAGAGAAATCCTGGAACGAGCCAGAACGCAAGGATGCCCCGAACTCTCCACTGCTGCTGACGAAGCGCTGCAAGGCGCTACTACGCTTCGAGCTGGCTATATCGCCAACCGAGGCCAACTCTCCAAGTTGAGGACGGTGTGGGGCACGGCTCTCTTACTTGGGAAGGAGGTGTGTGGGACGTGCTCGACTTCGGAGACAAACTGTGGCCGAGTGGAGGATGGGAGAAGGATCTCCTTTCTGGACATGACCAATCAGGCAGACCTGAAATTCGCCAGTGTCTCCTCCTTCACTGCGCAGCAGGGTACTTGGAAAGAAAGAATGGGAGGACCCCAACTCTCGAGGAAGTCCAAGTTCAGGCCAATGTTCTTCGAAAGGAGCTCATCGCCGTGGCTAACATAGACCACTTCCACTCTCAGTCCCTGGTCAACACTGACAGAAACTTTCCACAAACCTGAGTCAGGCGTGTGGCTAACATAGACCACTTCCACTCTCAGTCCCTGG